CCCTGCGAGCGCCGACCGCGACCTGCCTGCCATCCCCGCCCGGGCTTTTGTTGCCGGGATTTGTCATTATTAACAATTCTCACAATTAACCCCGCGGGTCCCGCGGGTCCCGGCGCGGGCAGAGTTCGCCGCGGGCTGAGCGCAGGGATGAGAGCCAAGGCGGAGAACACCAACTCAGCCGCCTCGTTAGCGCAGTAGGTAGCGCGTCAGTCTCATAATCTGAAGGTCGTGAGTTCGATCCTCACACGGGGCAAAGGCGGGCAGCTCTTTTGCTCCCGGGCTCGGAGCTGCAGGTCCAGGCCGAGGCGCTGCCGTCCCTGGCTGCGGCTCACGGGAAGGGTTTGTGCAGCTGTTTTTGACGCCCTTTGGCAGGCGTCCTCGGGCGATTCTGGGGATGGGGCAGTGCACCAGGGACCGGGAGCTGGTACAGTTCCCGCTCCTGCCTGCGGGAAATGCTCCGGTTTGTGCACATTTCCAGCTTTAATGTTTTAACAAACCATAGGTGTGTACACGTATGGCCCGAGGTGCTGGCCAAAAACTCTGTGCATTTATTATTGCCCTTGAAATATCGAAATAATCGCATGTAAACTCGATGATAATCATCACAAAAAAAGTTTTTCTCATCTACTCCCTCTCCCTCCCAGAGATGATCCTCACCTGTTGATTTTTCTCCCTGTGAAGAGATGCCTCTTCCCACACTCAGCTGAGGGCTGTGAGATTTCCATGTGTCCTGCTTGCTGTTGATAGACTGTTTCTCGTTCCAGACACAGAGGATGCTAAGGTGAGGATAACCAAGTACCTCTGTGCATTTAAGTCTTCATGTAACTAAAGTGAAGCAGGGAGGCTGTTCCCAGCCTGAGGTGACACAGAGCTGCTGGTTAGAGGCACCATCCCAGCTCCGCCCTCTGCCCAGTTCTTCAGCCCCCACAGGGCACTGTGTGCAGTCCTGCTCCGATACTGCTGCCCCAAAGAGCATCAGCAAAACCCCAGGGAAGCAGAACAAACTAAGATCCCAGTCCTCATATTTTTACAGGGCCAAGTCTACCCCTGCATCAGCACTGTATGTAGTGATTATGAATGAATGATTCACTTTATTTTACTTTGCCTCATTCTTAGCAGAACATTACATACTGTTCTACTCTTGAGTCAAAACCAGTAGCCATCAGCACCACCAGCAGTATGAAGAGCAGTGTATTTATTTAGATCCTCTCTCCCCTTCTCTCTCATGAAATGAACCTGTTAGTATATATAACACCTATATGCATCTCCAGTAGCAGAGGCTCCACACCCTCTCTGGGCCTTGGTTTCAGTGTTTGGCTCTCACTGCAAAGGATTTTTTTTGTCTAACTTCAAATTTCCCTGCTGCAAACTTGTAGAATCCACTTACACATCACTAACAAAACCCACATTTTACCAGTGATTTGTTTCTTCAAGTCATGGCAGGCACCAGAACAAAGTATATAAATACTGCATGTGCAATAATTGATTGGTAAAAAGTGAGTTTATTTTAGAAGTAAAAATAACAAAAAGGTTACAAAAATAACAAGAAAGTTACAAACAACATACATATATTCTAGCTAGCATTTTATTTTTATATAAAAATATCTCCAAAGGCCTTTAGCATAAACAATCTATGATCCATCCAGAATCACACTATACACACTTAGCATTTCACTAATTAATTATTTACAAGTACAGCTGAGGTCCAGAGCAACTCATGGTGTCCACGTTGTAGGTGGGAAATGAGGATGTGGTTCGAGTCTGTGAGGTAATGAGCTTTCGTCTGAGCCTCCTGACCTCTGCCATCAGCTCCTGCTCTCGGCGCGCCAGCTCCTCTCGTCTTCTGTCTAAAGACACTTCAGTGCAAGAAACCCAGACTTAACATTGCAAGGAATGGTTTTCCATAAACACTACAAATGCCTGTTGGAAACAGGTATCTCTGGCACGGGAATGCTGTTTTTCAGTACCACTGTATGTGACACAGCCCACACACCTGTGAGACTGAGTTCTTGGAAAGCAGTGCCTGTTTTGCTACCCAAAACCAATGCTAATGGGTCCACAGATATATGTTGCCATTGCCTGCAGAGCTTTGTACAGAAGGTGCGCAGGACTTTAAATTGACCTTTCACTGCAGTGTGGCTAGGACAGCCCAGAGGAAATGATTAGACTGATTCTTGACTTTAACTCTCAGTAAGATTTTGATGAAAGACACCTCCACATCTTCTCAACATTCCCAAATCATACATAGCTCTGAAGACAGGAAAATCACAGGTAAAATGATCAGGTCAGAATGCCATTAAACTGGGCTGAGGTTTACTAGGACCACTCTCATAATGTTACACACTTCAGGTGCTTCCTACCTGTGCTGCCCCTGGTAGCAAAGACATTTTTTTCAGATATGAAATAGAACACAACAATAAACTGGTTTACTATCCACTAAACACCTACACAACTAATAATGACTCAATTGCATGACGAGGTGTTCCAGTAATGCTTCTGAAACTAAAGGTGACAGAAAGGAGGGTCCTAACTTAGAAACTTACTGTGTGGTGATGAGACTAATGCAGACAAATCATTCAGACAGGTGTTTTCAGACCTTGGCACCTGTTGGACTTTTACCCCTCTCTCTGCACATCCAGCCTTTAGATCACGCAGTCTCTCTGTGGGAAATGGAGAGGATTTTCTGTAAATTTAAAGTGTTTCAGTTTCTAGTGACTTTTTCTAGCTTGAGGTGAAACAGTTTTTCTCCAGGAACCACACCTAGAACAATCACCCACTCCAGCTAATGGCAAGTACAATTTGCTCAGAATTAGAAGTCAATGTTTCTACTCTACAGGTCAAAGCTATGCATCACTGCATTTCATTTTAAGAAATTACAGCTCTGTAATTTCAGTAGTTTCTTAAAATTCCCTTTAAGAAATTACAGCTCCGTAAGAAATTACATGTGCTGTTTCTTCCTATGTAATTAATCTTCTGACAAATAGGCCACTAAGATCATATGGGATATGCCTACTCATACTTGCAGTTTTAGGAGACACCCATTTTAATAATGTGCAGCTGCAAATTACTCCACACTAAAAATATTGGATAAATAAAGGCTGAAAAAGTTTGCCCAAAGCAATACTAATCCCCTAACCTTAATACTAATCACTGATTTTGTATGAGCCTTGCAGAGATGGGGGGATGGGAGAAATACCTGCACAAATGCAGCATTTGAGAAGGATGCACTGGCTAATTCTGGAAGCACATAAATGTGACTTTTTTTCTGTGAATAAGCACTTGGATAAGTCACTTCTTGGTGTAATACTAGATGTCACCACAGGACATTATTTGACACAGGATTTATAATGATGCGATTTTACAACTGGCTTAAATTGAGGTAAACCTGTGTTTCCACCAAAAATACCATTATATTGCTGCATCTGATAGATATCAAACTGAGATTGCTTTCCAAGCCTGGCCTGATATATTGCTTTCATGAAAGAATACTGACAAAAAGTACTTATGTAAAGGAGTTACGCTTAGGTTTATCCCTAATATTGGACGCTTGGTTTGTAATGTTGTCGAACGCTTCATGTCAGCATCCACACAGAACTGCACTATGTGCTCACCAAAACATCCATCTTCCCTTTGCAGCTCCTCATCCAGTCCCAATGCATCGTTCATTCTGTCATCTAGGAACTGCTTCCTGCGCTCATCTGCAGTAGCAGCCTCTTTCTGCTCTTCCTCCAGTTGAGCTATTCTGTGGGTAGCAGCCTCTTTCTGCTCTTCCTCCAATTGAGTTATTCTGTGTGTAACATCTTCCCACTGTGCAACAGAGATATTAAATGTCTTCAACACATGTGTTCCAAGGAAAAAAAGCAACAAGTGAAACCATCTGGATTATTACAGATTACACTTCACCCTTAAATCAAAATACATGTTATCAAGATGTGTGAATTTTCTATTTGAAAGATGTCTTGTTCAAACACCTGGAGAAAGGTGAAAGCCTTGGATCAAAATTAAAAAAAGGAGAGGAACTTACAGAAATAGGAATATGCTTACCTAAGCCTAAATCATCCTCACCAATTTGCTCTAGTGCTTTCAGAAACTTCCAATGAAAATAGGAAAGGAGATTCCTAACAAAATATTTCTTTAATACCTTTCAGATTTATGCTCTCCACATTATGGGCATAGGACAGTTACATTCTGGGCCCCTCAGTTCAGGAGGGATACTGAAGTGCTGGAG